AAGAATCGAATCCAGGCCTCCCGATCACAAAACAAACGCCCTACCACTTGCATAGTTGTTGAAGGTAAATTTTAAAGCTTAAATCTCAAAATTATATCTAAGGTAGTACACAATAGATAGGCCAAGATTTTCCTCAAATTCAATTTTTTTGAAACTTTGAAAATATACAAAATCTCTCTTTATATGTAATTTGAAAGAAATTCAACCGCACATTTTTTGACCACATAGTTTGAAATATTCCCTGTCAGACCCCTGTAAGAAGATTGTAAAATCAGACATTGTACTTTAGAATATGCATTTTTTTTAAATTACCGATTAACCTATTGCAAATTTGTGTGATGTTTTTTAAAAAAACAGCCTTTCTGTTATTAAATTTCAGTAAATTATAGTGAAACCGGTATATTTAAGTAAAATGTGATGGAAAAAAAAAAACATAACTAGTCCAGCAATTGAAAATTTATATGTTTTCTTAAGAGAAAATGTATAATTCAATTTTTACAAAAAATCAACAGAATGATTAAAATGGAACCCAGATAAAAATGTGTCAAAATGAGGAACATTTAACCGAGTTTCAGATATTTTGGCGATTTAAAAAATATTCAATGCAAAAAATTAAAAGAATTAGTAGATGACGTCACAGTGTTAAACCTTTGACCTCTAAATATGACCTTTCCTTTATTGTTTATAAAGAATGGAGAAGACTCCTTTTAAATTTGTCCAAATATCACGTCTCTACTATAAATGGATCAAAAATTACTTTGCATTTAATAACAGACTGTCATAAATACAGTTCGCTAATTATCGGAATGTTGTGTGCAGTTCATCATGTAAACGATGGTGTTTATCCGATGTAGAAAATAAAGATTTTGATTGATTGGTGTTGTCAATGAAATATCTTTTGACTTGAATGTCAAATTACGATTTTCATTTCTTTTAAAATGAGAATTTAGTAATTCGATAAAAAGCTTTTTCAAAATCCTCTAAAAACTATGCTGTAGTAATGATTTTTAAAAGCAAAATTCTACGCTGTGATATGTCTATGGTACTTTGTATTAAGGGATAGTTTTATTTTATATCAAAACATTATTAGAACGATGAAATTTTTAAAAAATCAGCTTAAGATTAGCTTGTAAATTGTGATGGATTCACTGTGGCATGTTCCTCATTTATAATTTTCGGGGTCAAAATCACAAGAAACAGGTCATGTTCTCACAAAAGAATGAAAATAACAGGCAAAAAGGCGTGGAAAGAGTTAGTTGCAATGAATGCTTTGAAAGTATGACCGAAACGTGATCAAATATGATTAATTAATGACGGGTTTAAGACAAAGATGTACATTAATTAACTTAAACAACTTGGTATATAAACACTGAAATTTATGTTTACAAATTTAAAACAAACACATTTAAAAACAGGTAAGATGGAATGTCTTGTTCGCACATTGATTTAACTCGATAGCTACGCAAATTACCTTTCAGTTGATTTAAATAAACATATCTTATTATGAAAATTATTCATTCTGTGCACATTTACAATTTATTTCCTTAGATGTCCTTAACGATTAGTATATTAATGTTGAAAATAAACGTTTTCATCATATAATACAGCTTTTTTAATGATTGTTATGTCAACAAAGTGAGAGTAAATCGTCTCTTGATTATAATTTTAACTTACATTACAGATTTAAAAGTGTTTCATTTTCTGGTAAAGATGTGTCCATCTGATGTCTTTTTTGTCTGTTTACTATGTTTTTAATTATGCATATGTTCATTACCAAAGAGCAATTTCAACCACATTTGGCAAGAAACATTCGCAAGGAACAATTTGTTTGAAACGAGGCACTGTGCTTGAATAGAAATAATGCTTAAATGCCATTCAGCTAATCATATTTATAGATGAAACATGATGGACATATTCTGAATTTGAGACATTTATTTTTTTTTTATTTTGAGTAGTTAATTTAGATTTAACAGTTCATTATTACTTCTGTTTCATTATGAAATTGCAATCTTACACGGGGTGTTAAAACTGCCTGAAGGCTTAGTGAACGGCAACGTATCGGGATTAGTAGTTTATCTGATAGTATCATGAGGGCACAAAAATTTTAGATTAGTTTGAACAATGAAATATATGGAGATAACGAACAGTATTCAAGCTCAAAAGTCCACATAAAAATACAAAGCAGAAACAGAGCAAACACGGACATCTAAAAAATCAGAGGTGGGACCAGGTGCCATGGAGGAGTGTGCATCCCCTGCCGACCGGTCACAACGCTGTGTGCTCTTTGACATGATCGGGAAATAACAACAAAACAAAAAACCAAAAAAAAAAAAAAAAAAAAAAAAAAAAAAAAAAATAACCCGTCGACAATTCGATGTTTATATTATAGTCTAATATTAGTTTAAGAAAAATCAGTCAGTATTTTACTTAATGATAGATTGTATGTGCTGACAAGGTCATTGTATCGACCATAGAACTTTAAATGAGACTGTTGATATTCTTGTTTCATGAATTTGTTTGTAAATACGAGGGGTGATCAAAAAATGTTCGCGAACTATCTCTATATTTACAAAACCACTATTCAGATCTGAATGAAATTTGGCACACATATAGTCATACACATGTTCTATAAATAACAAATGTTAAATAATGTTTTGCTCAGTGTTTGTGACGTCACGATGTAAAAATGACGTCAATATGTAGGTCACTTGTAACAAAAAATGGTTGATTCAGTCGTACTCGAGCAACGAACGGCTGTAAAGTTTAACGTATATCTTGGAAATTCGTTTGCAGTAGAATACATGTATGATAATTGTACAAGGTTTATGAAGACAAAAGACTCAGCAGAAGTTCAATCATTAACTGGATCGATTGTTTTAGTGAAGGCAGGGAGATGGTTAAAAATGGTTAAAAATGATGTTTGTTCCCTTGCCCAGCGAAAGCAAGCCGGGGAAAAGAGGTGTCCTTAGTTGAGCAATTTGTTACGAAACATCGTCAAGTTACAAATAGAAAAATAGTTGAATATCTTAACAATAATATAATTATTAAATCCCTAAAATACCGTTTACTTTAGACTTTAAACATATGAGATATAATAAAAAGAAGGCGCCCATACTTTTTATCCACATTGGATAAACGACGCTCCTGAGACAGAGGACTTGGGTTGTGAATGGTCACCATACTAATTGTGGGAAGGGATATCCTTATCCACCCATGCTATTGCTGAGATTTAGCCATTTCTGACTGATGGACTGTTCTTGTTATAAAAAATAACTTGCATAGTAAGAAATATAAGACTCGGTAAAATGTTTTAGCTTCTGTGAACAGACTGCTACGGTGCATGTCACGTGAATGTCTGGATCACGTGATTCGCGCATGGGCAGAACAATGGAAAGATGTGCATTAAAATTGGAGAGGACTACTTTAAAAAATAATAAACACTGAAACCTTTTTTTTAAGGAAGAAATTCAATTAGTTTGCGAACTTTTTGATCACCCCTCGTAAATAACCTCGTTTTAGAAATTTTCCATACGTAGAGCATGCTCTTGCGTTTCGAATCAGGTGAGAGATATAAATCCCATATGCAGGTAATAAGGGTATATTGCTGCATAGGTAAGGGGAGTTGACTGTTGAAAAGTTAAAGTCATCACGTTTATCATGAAGTTTGGTTTCAAATAATTACTCTCATTTTGGTTCAAAAATGTACATTCCTGATGATTTTTATCATATACATGTGTATTGTGTAAAGAAATGCACGTTATCGATCGTCATCTTTCGCAGAATCGTGAGCGTGAAGGATCGTTCGTGTATTGGGTTTAGTCGTGCGTTAATCTTGAGGAATATTTCGTGTTACGTGATCGTTCGTGTAGTTTGACAACAATAACGTTGCAGCCCCTGTATCCACAATTTTGTTTGAAGTCAACATTTTTTATGGTCGATACTATATCCTTGTTTGCAAAAGCAATATGTTGTTAAGTCTGTTATTTAGAATGTTTTGACGTCTTTTATACAAGCAATTAGGCCGTAATTTTCAAACTGAATTGACTACGAACGGATTTCTCCGTTTACCAAATTATAAGAAAAGCATACGGCGGGTTTGACCGGTCATCAGGGGATTTTTAATCCTCAGTGGCGACTGATCCCACTTCTGATGATTTTAGAGGTCCTTGTCTGCTCTTCTCACAATACGTATTGTTAAATGGACTTTTGAGCTTGATTACTATTCGTTATCTTCATTCCTCATTTCTGCGTTTATTTACTTGAGGGATTGTTTCCCCTTACTAACTACTTGAAGATATTGATTAAAAATAGAAATATCCTTTTACAACCACTAGATCAGAAAAAATAGCAAAGAGAAAGCCTATTAAACTTTGTACATAACATGTTTCACAACATTGTTCAAACGGACAGTAAGAGGTACATTAAGGGTTTACTAAAGATCATACAATTTTAACAACTCTTTTGGCGAAATAGCTATTTGTATGTCTAAGAGAGAATTTTTTCACAAAATTTGGTTATCTTTGTATGAATTTTCTTAAATAATGCAAATATAAACGAGAATGGAATTTTAGCAATTAAACAATATGGCAAAATCACTCCAAAATAAAATTCTTTATAAATAAAAATTGATTTAAAAACTTCTGCAAGGTACTCATAGTCATATATCCCCAGAGGATACAGAATGCATTTATATCAAAAGAGGACCCTCCTCCCCCAAGAAATCAAATAAACATCATATCTACAAACTGAAGTCACTTATTTTCATAAAAAATAATTTTTATTGTTTTTCGGGGTATGAAGAGACCCACAAATTCATGACTTTCCCAAAATATTAGAATTAAACTTAAGTAAAAAGCCTGTCTACCAACCATGGATTGAAATCTTACGAATCAGTGTTTTTATTCTCAATCGACGAAAATTGCCCTTACGAAAATAAATGATTTTACAGTACTCAACTTAAAGATGCTCACAATATATTACATATGTTTATATTGTAGAGTTTCCTGAGCTAAAATAAAAAAAATGAAAATCGTTTTTATGCTGGTGGCATGCCTAGTGTCGCTCAAAAGTGTGCGACCGCAGGTTGAATCAATAGGATCTACTGGTAAGGAATTAAACATCTGTCTAATTTTCAGGCAATCCTTTTGGGCTTGCAAAGTTCTTTAAAACTTTAATATTTTGGCATAGTGCATGCAAAACGCAATCGTATAGTATAATCATTAACTAAATTGGCTTTAATTATAATGATTAATAACTGGTATTAAGGCATATCTATCACTGAAAGTATGTACATATTTCGTTTTTACATCTCAATGAACATTTGTTTTCATTCATTTATTTCTTTGAAATAATGTAGCCAGAGAAAAACGAAAAATCATATGTGCAAAAGCAAAAACGTTGGTTGAAAGAAGATGCAGAAGAAGGCCACAGTACAAACTGGCAAATTTTCTTTTTTAAGTTATACCCTCCTATTATACTACCAAAAAGAATGTAATAAAAAATTTAAAATTTGTCTTGTTGAATGATTATTTTCTGGTCATACTGATTATATATTCATATTTTCATTAAGGTAATTGTATCTGTACGTTGGAATACAACCCTGTTTGCGGAAGTAATGGACGAACATATTCCAATCCATGTCAGGCACGCTGCGCGTAAGTACCTCAAAATACCTTTAACATATTAATTTTTTTCAGTATACTGAATCGTTAAATTTTGAAATGTTCCTTAAATATATTTAGCGCATATGTGTTAAAAATTGTGGTTGTATTTCGAAATTGGTATGCTAAGGCAGTACCCAGATCATTATTCAGGAAATTTACACTTTAATTTTTTTTTATATTTCTTTTTTCATGTAGAAAATATAACTTTAATAAATTATTCATTAAAGCCCAGATATAACAAAGATGTCTTATGTTATATCATGACGTAATCATGTCACGTCTATAAAAAGAAAAATATGTCCTAATGAAGAAGTGAAAACATGAGTACTTTCCCGGGGGTACATAGTCATTTCGAATTCTGTAAGTAAAAATGTAAACTGTGTAAAAACATCTCATGAAATTGCTGCTAAATTCCTATCCTGACACAGAAATAATTATTCCACACTTTCGCACCTGAAAACTTTTTACAATAAAGTTTTTACATCTAATCCAAGAATCCTTATCAGTTCATATATGCCACACAACCCTAACAGCACTTTCCAAGCCTTTTTTAGGAGTTCAAATAAATCTTAAAATAAAAATATTCAGAAATCTGTGAATATAACGTACTGTGACGCCATTTTGCATCAAGTCAAAATATCTGGGTGGAGCCTTATCAGGCAATGATAACTATATCATTTTTTAAAAGATTTAATTAGACCTTAAGTCTATTCATGATAGTCAAGTTAATTCACACATAAACTTTTAAAAAATACCACTAATCAGTAAAATAATTATAGTCTTAGCGTGCTATAAGAAACTAAAACTAACTTAAAAAGTACTTTGTGTTACATATAAAGTGTTGGTTGTTTTCTTTTCTTATTTTCAATAATAAAGAGGTGTTAGTGTAAGATGCCAAGGCAGCTGTCCGTGTTCTACCGACAGTTGTGTTTGTCCACGAATATATCGCCCTGTGTGTGGACGTGACGGGCAGACATACCCAAATAGCTGTACTGCTAGATGCAGGTAAAGATCTAGCTTGAATTTACTCTCATGTCTCTTTGTGAATAACAATAATAGCAATTTAAAAAAACAATAAAATCAATTTTAACCTTCCAATTTTTAAAATCTTAAAGTTACAGGTTATAAGTTTAAAAAAAAAAGTTTGGCTTTTCCAAAGTATTCAGTATAAGCTTTTAGATCTTATACTTAGTAATTTTCTGTATGAGAATTGTTCTTATATGGCAACAAAATAAGGGAGAAAGAAGAAAAACATTCAAAAAGGACTATTAAACATAAGCTGTCTCAATTTTTTTATTCTCATGTAATATTTGAATTGAAATACGAGACAAATATTCACAGAGGTGCCAGAGTACAATGCAATCGGAGATGCCCATGCTCTGGTGGTGGTGGTGGTTGTAATTGTCCAGAAATCTATAGCCCAGTATGTGGCAGCAATGGCGTCACTTACGACAACAGGTGCTTGGCCCGTTGCAGGTAATTTCTAAATACAGTATAAATTAAATTTGAAACTTTGTACTGGTATAAAGCACTCATTTTTGTATGTGAATATTTAAGAAATGTGAGAGTGAGATGTAATCGACGATGTCCTTGTTCTGGCAACAACAATTGTAATTGTCCAAGAAACTATGATCCAGTGTGTGGAGTTGATGGAAGAACTTACAATAACAGATGTGAGGCCCGCTGCAGGTACCGTATTTACTGAAATTTAATTAACATACATTTTGCTTTCAGGAAACTCAAAATATTAATCAAGAAGATTTAATTACCGTATATCATATCTTTCCTCGTCATTCCCCTTCCCCCGAGAATCACATAAAAGTGTGTGCGCACTTTGGAAATGCTAGAGAACATAGGACACACGTGACTGATATACCGTACATTTATGCATGTACACTTTAAGCTGTTGATTAATACATTACGCATGCAAAATTATCTACAAAAGAACCAATATGCAATGCCAAGGTAAATTAAAGTTCTGACCAGTGGATAGGATTCTGCATGCCTATTTAGAACACTGATTGTGACTATCAAAGAAAACAGACAGACTTACGAAATATATAATTTTGATTCATATGAAAAAATCTATCAGGTTCCCGATTATCCCATATGAGCGATTTTAAGATCCATCATTAATACTGGGTTCAGTTAAACCGGATCAACTTGAGCTGCAAAAAACACAATTTACTACGCGCATCATGTACAAAATTCAATATTTATTGTGGGGTAAGAGTGTTTTTGCGCTACTTGGTTTCTTGTGGATTAATTAACGAACCAAATTAACCCTTATTAATAGTATATGTGACAATGAAGTCTTCATGAAAAATTCGAAATCGTTATTTTTTCCATTTTCCCTCAATTTTCTGCATATCTCTGTTGAAATAAAGAATTCTTTTCTTATTTTTTCATTGCATTATAAGATTATGCTGTTAAATTACATATTTTCGTAGGGTAAGAATATTACTGACCATTGTTTATGGGGTTGCTGAGGCAGTGTTGAGTTTTTAATTATGCTTCAGAAATTTATATTTAGTTGCGGACATGAATTCGAGGGTCTCTCCATAGAACAAAACATAGAAAATTAACGCCCCACGAAAATTAGTGATTTCACAGGATATGGCTTTTTTTGTCTTTTAGGTAATAAAAAAATATAATTCTCAGCTTGTTTATCCCAGAATACCCAGATTTTAGGTTAGCACAAACTCACCTTAGTCCATATCCAAATTAAATAAGAAATCTGGAATGGTTGCTATTCTTCCTCACATGAAATATAAAACAATAATTCTGGACATTTTACAAAAGGAAAAAAATAGCAAAACACGATAAGTACCCAAAACCATTGTTGAAATCTTAGTAAACAGCTTTTTTTCGGGTCTTTGATATGTAAGGACATTTAAAGCAGAATTATACACAATTTAATATGATTATTACAATGCATGTACTACTGTATGCGAAGCAGATAAGTTGAAAAGCCAGCCATATGCAAGTCTGTGCAACATATTTTTTGCAATTTTTTCGCCGAATTAATATGACTATTGATATTAATTACATAAGAAATGCGACTTTACAATGATTTTATTGCCCATTCCTAGTCTACCATAAAAGCTACATTGATTCTTCTCATCGTTCAAACAGACCATATTTGATAATTATGTTTTTCTCCTTTGTCCCCTGCTGTGGCTAAAAGCAGATTATTTGTGTATAAAATTCCTTCTGCTTGTGCTTCATTCCGTCCCTCTGTGACACTTTCATTTCCAGATGATATATCATCTAGTCCCTTAGCTTTTACACTGGCATTTTACATCATTTAATTCAAAAAAAGAACCCATTTGAATTTGATCATGAAGCCAAAAGGTCAGATATCAAGGTCAAATTCAGAAATCCATATACTAGTATTGGAAATGGATTTCAGAGGATAATTTGTCTCATACCCCCTGTAACTTAAAAGTGACCTCATTCATAAAATGACCTTGTCAGCAAATACAATCTATCATTGAGCCAAATGTTTTTCATACTTATTGTTATGCCATTATTTAAACGCTGAATTGTCTACGGATTTTTCCGTTTGACAATGAGCACACAAGGGAGTGTGACCGGTCGACAGGCGATGCTTACTCCTCCATGGCACCTGATCCCACCTCTCATGTTTTAGAGGTTCATGTTTGCTCTGTTCCCGATTTGTATTCTTTCACTGGACTTTTATTGATTACTGTTCGTTATCACCATATTTTATTAACTTGTTGAAAATGCAACAAATACCAGTCAATATTTTATTACAAGCAGATGATGTATTGCTGACATATCTACCCTCCCTTCTCTTTTATTCCGAATTGGTTGTACTAATAAAAAAGATTATTTGCAGAAATGTGAGAGTAAGATGCAATCGACAATGTCCCTGTTCTGGCAACAACAATTGTAACTGTCCGAGAAATTATGACCCCGTGTGTGGAGTAAATGGAAGAACTTACAATAACAGATGTGAGGCCCGCTGCAGGTAACTTGTAAACTGAGATATCAACTTCGAATGAATTAGCATTGCTACCTTCAGAATGCTCTTTGTTTTAAAAGAGACATTTTAATTAAATTGATAAAATGTACCAAATGGGACATTCCTTAATTTGATTTCCATATTTTTTATTTACAAAAAAGCCAACCTTTAAGAATTTTAGAAAAAAAAATTATTATTGTAAAAATAAATTACAATCGATGACTTATAAAGGTTAACCGCAGTAATTAATAAAGCAATGTTTCGTAGATGTGACAAAATTTACAGATAATTTTTTTTTAAATTTCACTTAGAAAAAGAAAAGTCAAATCAATTAACGGCATGAAAAAAAAGTCAATAGGGGTGTGTTTGATAACAATTCTGAAAGTATGACCATGAGGTGATTGAGTTAGCGGGACTTAAATTGTAGATCTTACACTGCGTACCATTATAAAAATAAATCTTGTTTTATTTATTAATTATGAAGAAATTCTAGTTAAAAGATCATTTTTATCTGGCTACAATACCACATAAATGTTATAAAAAGGAAAAGAAAAAATCCAAATAAATACGAAAACAAAAAATATTTTATATTAGTATACATAACCATCATTGTGGCGCTCATTCTCCTTTGCCAATCTTAATCAAGGCTCTATCATCTATTACACCTTAAAATTTTGAAATTCCTAATCCAGTATCAGGTTGTTATATGTCTTTTTCAAAGTATTTATTTCATCAATTTTCAACATTTAATAAAAGTTATTTGTTAATAATCAATAATTAATTGTTAATAATCAATACTCTTGATGAAATACCATTTTAACGGGGTATCAGATCTTTTTATCATTTCTGACCGTTGGAATTCAATGTGATTACAAAATAAAAAAGATAATATGAAAGATAATTACACTTCAAGATTATTCAACATTACTATTTGCAACAAACAGCTAAAGCTTTCTGTCTATTTCGTAATACACATGTACAGTAACGCAAAAAACGTGGTAATTTACAGATTCTAGATTTACTCATATATTTTAAAATAGAGGTGTTCGAGTAAGATGTCAGGAGCGTTGTCCTTGTCGTAACTGTCCATGCCCCAGAAATTATGCCCCAGTGTGTGGACGTGATAGACGAACATATTCAAACTCATGTCTTGCACGTTGCAAGTAAGTTACTGTTTGTTTCAATTGAATTCAAGTGCGATGATGCCCACAAGGCCTTGCACTGTATAGGAAGAAGAAGAATTCAATTTGTTTTCTTATTCTTTTTTGTAAACAGATTTGAGGAACATTTTCACAAACATATATATATATATATATATATATATATATATATATATATATATATATATATATATATATATATATATATATATATATATTATATATATATATTTATATATATATATATATATATATATATATATATATATATATATATATATATAATTAGCTTCCTTCATGGAATTCTGATAGATTAAATGCCAGTTTGAACTAATAATTCATTGAGACTAATATTTTTCGAAACTAAAAAAAACAAACTAAAGTTGTGCCTCTGAATTTGTTATCAAATTTTATTGTTTTTAATTTTTATTGATAATTCTGGTTACCATAAATGGTATTTCATTTTTAAGATATTGTATACATAAGAGTATGCAAGTTCAAAAAGGTATCAAACGTGTATGGAATTTTTACATTTTGGAAAAAATAAAAACATACAGTATAAGTTAACAAGAAATATATTCAGTAAGTTTTTCTCTTTGTTAATGTTGAAATTTTTTTAAACGTGCATGTTTATTTTTTTTCTGATGATCTATCAGAACTTTCAAGCAAATCGAAAATTGTTATAATTCTTCATTTAAATGATAATCAGGAAATAAAATCTTTTTCGTCGTCTTCTTAATTGTATTCATACTCTGTATTAATATTGATTATGTAAGTTAAAAAATATATATATAAAGAAGTTTTTTTTAAACAGAAAACAGTTAAAGAAATATGAAAGAGTTTTTTTTTTATTATAACATCTTTGGGTTCATTCTACGAATATGGATTGTACTGAGCATATAATTTTAACAGAATGACGATGCATTTTCTAATAATATATACCATTCTTCTCTAAAGAAATACAATTAGATTAAATAAATTGAAAATTCATTTTAATTTTTTTCAGTGGGATCAATCGCTATACCCAAGGATCATGCAGAGGTAGACAAGGTATAATTTGAAGATTTTTTTTTTTTGAAAAGGGACAAAAATCCTCAATTGTTGTTAAATGTTAATTTCCTCTACAAAATCTTACGATAATAAATTATAGTTTCACATAGTAAACAATAATTTACTAAGGTGCATACTTGAATATTTGATTTATCATGACACTTATGATATTTTCTTATGACAGATTGATTTATAATGATGATTTCTTTTCGACTTCTATGGAGTTTCCATCGAATGATGTTTTCAAATTTCATATCAGTAATAAAACTAGTAATTTGCGAAATAAAAATGAGAATACAAGTTATGCTTTCTGTAAATGTGAATCCAAAACTGGAATGTATGAATACGAGAGACATGTTTGACAACTTGAATTTCATAGTGATAAAAACGTTGATAAATTGTTTACGTCCCACTTGAGAATTTTTCACTCACGTACAAACGTCACATGCTTAAAGTGCCACCAATTTTGACAAAGCATGGCGCTTAAAGCCTTACAGTGAAAATTCTCTATTGTGCCAATGCTTGTCGTTAACATAGGACCTCGGTTCTTATGGTCTCATTTTAAGATTTCATGATAAGAAACATTTTTACTTCTAACACCGGACATTTGTCTAACATGGCGAAGAACACTCACATTCTTTGTAAAGCCTTAGGATTTATACAGTGCCAGGGACGAGAATCGAACTAGGACCTACTGATCACAAAGAGGGTCTCACCTACTATGCTACCACAACCTGTATAAAATGACGAAAACTTTGAATCTTTGATTTACTGTATACTTCTTAGGATTATCATCTTCTTTAGAAACAATGGAACAAATTCAACAATCTTACCAAACAGTTCAATCAAATGGAGATTCATATGTCTCTTTTGCTGTGAGATTATTAATACATAATGACATAAACACAAGGCTATCAAAAACTTTCTTCAGAACCATTGATTCAGACATAACATAACCTTTGCTCTAGCTTCTTCAAATGTAAAGATAAGTTTTATGTTTCTTTAGACCTTGCAAGAGGTCAAATATTCACGAAAGAATATATAACAAAAAATAACTTCTCATAAACAGCAGGAGTATCTTTAAACCGAACCATATCAAAATGTTTCTATTTATTATATATTCGTATTAAGTCTATACCTTATTGTATTTCATAATATGAGACCATATGAAGGTTCAAATTTCTACATGTACTTTAACTGTAATCGTATAATTGTTTATTACAGACATGGGCTCACTCGTTACGTCATTGGATGCACAGCCATAATGAACCTTGTCAGCTGGAAATATGACGTATTGATGGAGGATCTTCAATTACCTCATACTCTTTGCAATGATTTTTTTCTAGGAAAAAAACCCATCTTTTTATTATTAGAATGTGTTTTTGTTAGCGTAATAATGCTTTAAATACAAATTCAAATAAGAGATAAGTCTTCGAGTGATTTATTTCCAGTTTTATAGGGTTCTCCACAAGGGGTTTATTAACCATGGCGGTCTGGCATGGTTAAATTTATGTGCGCCATGGTTAAACCAGCTGCGCCATGATCAAAATCTGCAGCCGCCATGATTAAATGTTAATTGCATTTCAGTATTAATACCTACTTTCAAAAGACTTGAGTTGTTAGTTGTGTTATAGTATGTGGCTTGCACCTCTCTCTTGAGGGAGAGATCGACTGTGCTAAGTAAATGTGAAGTGTGGCAATTGATATGAATATTACCTGGGGAGAGGTGGAGAGGACAGCTAAGAACAGAGAAGAATGGAAATCCCTAGTCCTTGCCCTATGTGCCTCAGGGTGCAACAAGGACTAGGTAGGTAGGTGGCAATTGATAGGCAATCAGATGAGGATTAATATGAAAAGATATCTCCACACAAGAGTGATTTTCTGTATTCTTCAAGTAACTTTTGGGAAATCTAACTTGTTCACTATGTAATAAAAGATTTAAAACAGATATAGAGGCAACGTTTTATCCATGTTAACGATGTCTCCAAATCAACAAGCATCTGAACCAAGTTTCTGTGGCCACAGAGAATTTAGCTCTTCAAAATGTTTTGCCCCCTTTTTATCTACTCATTTTTGTTTTTGTTTGTTTTACACCTTTCTAAATAGGGCATACATTTTATGATAGTTCCCTGTTCTAATAAAATGTCGATTACCAAGTGGAAGTATTAGAGTTGCTTCTCGTCTGAATATATTTTTCTTTTTAAAGAACTGCTACTCCTTTGTCAGTTTTGGTCCATTTTCAATGAAACTTGTCATTAATTAAATGTATCAGATTTTAAAAATCAAAATCGACAAACAGTGTTGCTGGTTTTCAAAAAAGATTTGCAGGGGTTAATTCTTTTAAAAAGGTCATCCGCGAACAAGTTTGGTACGATTTAAATAAAACTTGGTACATTTGTAAAGTATGCTAAGCTATAAAATTCTGTATGATGACTTTTTTTTTCAACTTGTTACCATGGTGAAAATAAAAACATATCTGTGAAATCAACCATCGATTATGTGATCGAGGTCTAGAAGCTCAAACAATGCATTTTTGTGCTTTTGGTCGCATTTTGTGCACGCAGCTCTATTAAGGCTTCATAAAGGGGGCGGGGCCTAATTTATACGGGAAAAGTTTACTGTGACATCACACAAATATAGCAATTCCTCACAATAACAGAAAATGAAATAATTTGCGGATCTAAACTGCATAAGAGTAGTGAACTACATCAATACTTACCACTGCATTCTCTTTTGTCGCTAATTAAATCCCACACAGCAAAATATAAACAAGTCACTGATCGCAATGCACTTGTCGACATGACGTCATCATGGTGAAGTTTGACGCATTTTATGTGCAGTGAGAGGTGGATCAAGTAATTTTTTCACAGTGAAAAATGCATGTTATTATTAAACAGAATATTTTTTGAAAATCTTAGGTAGACCATTAATACAAATCTGAAACGTTTGTTTAGTGCCATTATTTAAAAAATATCGAGAGAATGTATTGAATTAATTCTACCGTGTTTTTGTCTACAGGGTGTGCATGTTTCACGCCGAGGTGCCTCATTAAATCGCGTTTTCGCAAGGGCATACACTTAATAGATCTTGACCATTTTTTGAATACACATAATGGACATATTTCTTAACTTGAAAAGTGCTGCTGCTTTCCTGAAATCGATAGCATAACTTAACAAATACATGATATACTTGGTAAAGGTCACACATATTTCGACATTAGCAAGATAACTTGAAATTTAAACTAATAAAATGCGAATTCTATTTAAAGCAGCAGCACTTTCCATAAACTATAAGTTATGTAGAAACAATCTATTACTTTAATTTTTAATTTTAACTAGGGTATGCCCTTGCGATATTGAAATTTGTTTGTGACCTACATACAGTACACATTACATGCATTTATCACGTGACTATCAAATAACGTGACCAAACCAAATTCAGTTCAGAGCGGGGTATACAATGTTATTTCAAAGAATGTTAAAGTCAAAAGATAATATAGTACCTTTACAAAATTAAAATTCATTTCAAAAAGATATGTATTTATGCACGTTTATATTCTGTTGATTTTTTCGAAGTACGCCTTAACAGTGCTGCGCAGCTTCCCCCCATGATAAAATATTCAAATGTGGAGGACCCTGCTAATTTATGAAAAAAATAACCATTAAAAAGTAAAATCTCGTCAGAATTTACAGCTTGTGTCGATAATATTTACGACCAATAATTTCAAAACCATTTGAATTTTTAAACCGAGGTAGGCCACTGTCAGATAAGTACAGGGATTTCAAAATTGAAATCTGTCAAAGTCAGCATTTCGTAAATTCTATGTTCGTTATAATGACCATGTTAACAAATATAACCTATCATTGAATCGTACTTTGACTGACATGTTTCATACCAATTGTTAGGCCTATGATTTTTTTAACACTAAATTTGATAAATGCATAGGGCTTACGGCGGGTGTGATCGGTCAATAGGGGATGCTTACTTCTATGCACCTGATCCCACCTCTGGAATTTCCGGGGGTTTGTGTTTTATGCCCTGTTCACATTTTTGTATTATCTGTATTTTTTTTTATCGACCACTGTTCATTATATTCCCCTTTTTTCATATGAATAAATTTTACACTACAGTTTTTCCGAAAGTCTTGGTCGTCGGTATATAAAAAAGTAGGGAGTCCGAAAAATGACGGAAAATCAATATGATGTATTCAGGTGTCCAGACCTGACCTTGATGTGACCTTACCTACAGTTTTCGTTTCTTCATCTTGCATCTACTTTGTCAACGCATGAAGTCGTTTAGTTAAATTGATATTTGAGACATTCTGCAGAACTCTAAACATTATTGTGCAATTAAGATGGGATACTTTTTTCGATCTTTTCCGCAGATAATTTTGTTTCTGTCAAAATGATAATTTAAAGAGAAATCTATTAAGAGAACGAATAAAAAAATTTTCCTTCGCTTGCACATTTTTACAATATCTATCGTGTGTTCTGTACATAGTGCAGAATTTGTAGGTTACATAAACAAAGATGTTGTAGAAATCTTTCAAATCAATTCAGATCACTGCCTTTAAGGATACACCAAAGGTTTCCAAATGCCCGAATTTAACATGCATGTAATTCCTGATTTATCAAAGATAACATAAAAGTATATATCATTTGAAAGCTTTTTAAATTTACTATTTAATTATCCTATTTCAAACTATAATTAATAACTTATTTAAAAATTATTTAAATATGAATGTAAATTTTAGTGCATAAATATTTTATGAATCAACTTTTTTGTATTTAACAACTCAAATGGTCATTTTGCCTCAAGGTAAATTAAAGATTGAACTTAAAAACTGTATCTCTGATTTTTGATAGATCTTCTAATTCAAAAGTTACAGGCATTTGCACTTCAATGTTACCACTTTATTAGCCTAATTTAACATTTCCCTCAATAATTCCAAAACTAAGCTAGATATCAAAAATCTGAGATATGGTTTTGTGAACACACATTTGAGAAGCAACCCATCCAATTTTCAGAGAAATTGGTCAATAAATAAGGGATCTGAATCCTTTGAAATAATACCACAAACTGCCTGATCTAACTTTACTGTCGAGGGCAAAAACCCATTTCACGACAAAATCTGCCAAAGCTAGGGATATATGACACCTTGGAGATTTAGCTTAGCCATATTTCCTATGCATATTCACAAGAATGAGAGGTTCTTTTCTGTATTTAGATGCGTTTAATTAAGTAAAGTAGGTTCAATTCTAAATCAGAAAGATTCCCCGGCAAAATGGCAAGAGCTAAGCTCCACCTCGTTTTTTTATGGTCATCAGTGATCTGTTAGATCTCCTTCTCTAAATCTAGAGTCCCTGTAGTTTAATTACTGATAACCTCTGTGTGGCAAGTGAAGACTTATTGCGTCTTTCATGAGCAGGCAGTCACAGATCAAATCAGAAGCTGCAATAACGGAAAATTCACATGTGGTAGTGTTTATGTTTCATTATTGTTAAATAATTAGAAAACCATTTTATAATTACCAAGAATTTTACATGCATTATAAAGCAGTGATTTACTTCTTTTTTGTTAGCCAAAAATCTCAAAATTGTTGAAAATCTTGAAAAAGCCTTTGGTGTATCCTTAAAAAAAAAAATGAGATTTGCAATTCTTGTAAAAATCCCGCAGTACTAATTTTAAATGTATTGATCTTGTAGGCGAATGAGTCCTAATAGTTCAACATCCTGTTTCTCAAATTTATCAACCTACTCGTATTTTTTTTTTTTAATTTTTGCTGGAGGATAATTAGAAATATATATTATTTCAAATCTTTTGACGACACCATGTAAAACAATGCGACTTTTCAATCAGATTTTTTGGTTTAAATACAGACTTAATAAAAATATATTGATATGTCTTTTTTATGGCATTAACCTTTATAAAATAGTGTTAAAACTAAAATTCATCATATTCCAAAAATACATTATTTGTACAAGATGAAGAATTAGTCTGATTCGCTTAATCAGATTATATTGAACCAAATGAACTTAAAAAATAATATCTGGTTTAAAAACAGTATCTAAGAACAGAAAATCTCTGCGTAAGCAAAGGCTCGGCTTTTAATGTTTGCAAAAAAATTCACCTGAAGTTATTTTTCCACTAAAAGTAACCTTCAAATTTTGTTTCGAATGTGAAAATAAAATATCAAATAATTACTCTCTGTTTTCTATGAAGAGATATCTCTTATACATGTATACTCTTGCAAAAACATATTTAACAAAATTACATGTATATCAATTTCATAGAACTGAAAACTATAGATACTGCACATTGCCTGTGGATACAAATACAACAGCAACCGTGTAGAAAGCAGTTTTAGTATCGGGAGAGGAGGTCAAACCCAACAGAACAGAAATTGTTTGGCAAGAAAAAGAGTTCAA